TAATCAAATACATAAATTTATTATGAATGTCTCTCTATGAGTATGTGATATATGGTTAATTTAAATTGAAGTATTTTTGCTTTGATCATAACTAGTATACACTGTCAATCAATCAAACCAGTTAATTGCTTTATATTTGGAATTATTCTATTTCTGTAATTGATAATATTGTTCAAATGTTGTTCTTTTCAATTGTCATGGTTGCGTTTAGATATAGTTTAGATGTTAATTGTTATGCTAGTTAAAGTTGAAATGTCGATTAGTATATTTTTGGAAATGGACTTTCCTATTGATTGTTCAGTAATTTAGTTTTGTTTTTGTTCTTTGTTGCAGAGTTCAATCATGTTGTTTGTATTCTTCTTAACCAGTTTGAAAGGTTCATCACCTAGAGGCTCGGTTAACGATGAGACTGATTTCATTGTGTCCAGCGAATTAATAAATAACTTAATCACAAAGTGAAAGTATAATTAAGTTATTCTTTATTATGTTATTGTTATCATTGTCATCAATACCTAAATTGTACTGCATGCATCAATCAACCTGTCAATACTTATTAAATCAAAATATGTTCAGCCAATCTATCATTAAACTAGCATTCTTATCACAGTCATCTTATAGTCCAATATTGGAAAAACACTTATCGACAAAAGTACAGGGATCGCATTGGCGCAGTGGCAAAGGTGTTGATCGGATATTGCACATTCCATTCGACACAGGTACATCATGCATACATACTAATTATAACCACTTCTTAATTCCTTACCAAAACAATCACAGTACAAATGAAAAAATAGCACTGTTGCCATACCAGTTGTTAGACATCGCGGTTGTATGGTTCAGTTGTTTCATAGTCATCTGGGACGTATGGTTAAGTTGCTTCACTATCATCTGATAGTGCGGTCTCCTCATCATTGATATTAGAGGAGAAGACTTTTTCAATCGGTGCAAACGAACGTGCACTACCTGTACAAAGAGCAGAGCACAAATCGCACCAAGAACCAACTCTTTCCTTTTTTGCTCTGTAGATCATCAAGTTCATGTTTAGTGATAAATGCACTAAGGAGAGATAATCTGCTGCAGTTCTGTGTTTTGTACATTTCCGTTACATCAGGGTCGACTTTACTTAAGTGATAAGAGTTGTATAGTAACATGGCCACATAACTTCTACCATCACGACCTACACGTCCTATTTCTTGAATAATGTCGGTCAAATGTTTAGACACACCATACACGATAACGCTATGGGTGTCTACAACATCAATTCCCATTCCCAAAGCACGTGTAGCAATCACCATTTTCAACTGACTGTCCACAGTCTGAAGTTCCTTTATGATATTTGTTTTCTTCTCTTCGGGTGTTTCATAGTGAAATTATCGACTCATGGTCCTGACGAAGTGTTCTTATTTTTCGGCTCGATAAGAAATCCCATATGGCCGACTGAAACTTTGTAGGAATGATTGACTCATGGTCCTGGCAAAGTGTTCTCTTTTTTTTGGGCCGATCAAAATCCAATATGACTGCCACAGCCGCAATTTTGAAAAAAAACACACACTTAAAATCAAATTCTAATAGGCCGATTTAACTGAAACTCGGTCTGGGGCTTATCAACTTATGGTCCTGACAAACTTAACTTGACATCAATATATCCACTTCATATTTCGAATAAAAATCGAATAAGGTCGTAGCACTTTATAGCACTCCATCTCAGCATGCAAATATCACCACTCTATACATTTTGTGATTTAGATAAGGTCATTTAAATATTTTTACATTTTTGATCAAATTTGACATTGAAAGTGGGACAATGTAATTCAAATGAACAACCCCTATAACCCTTCATCCAAGCATGTTAATGGTCAAATAGCATCATTCGGGGCCTCATAGTTATTCAGAAGAAATCGTTTAAATATTTTTACAAATTTGAGCAATGTGACATTGAATATAGGTCAAGGCCAATCATTTTACCAAATTTGGTAGCCCTTTTTCCAAGCTTGCTACTGGCCACATTTAGAAAAAGTCGTTTATAGATTTTGAACATATTTGATCCCTGTGACCTTGAATATAGGTCTAGGTAATTAATTTGAACACACCTTGCAGCCCATCATCCAAGCATGTAACGGGCTAAATAGCATCAACCTGCGCATTTCGGTTATTCAGAAGAAGTTGTTAAAATATTTTGAACATATTCGACCCTTCTGACCTTGAATATAAGTCAAGGTCATGCATTTTCACAAACTTGGTAGCCCTTCATCTTAGTATGCCACTGGCAAGATATCAACATTCTTGGCATTATGGTTAATCAGAAGTTTTAAGATCTCATACATATTTGACCCCTGTGACCTTAAATTTTAGTCAAAGTCCTTCATTTTATCGAAGTTGGTAGCCCCACATCCCAGTATGCTACTAGCCTAATATCATCATCCTGGTCCTTTTGGTTATGCAGAAGTTGTTGGTTAAAAGGGTTTTCTAGACAAATGACCCATTTGACCTTGAATATGAGTGAAGGTCATTAATTTGAACAGACTTCGTTGCCCTTCATCCCAGCATGTTACAGGCTTAATATCATCACCCTGGACATTTGGGTTATTCAGAAGAAGATGTTTAAATTTGTTTTTTTACATATTTGACCCCTGTGACATTGAATATGGTTGAAGGTCATTATTTGAACAACTTGGTAGCACTTCTTCCCAGCATGCTACAGACCAAATATCTTCATCCTGGTACTTTTGGTTATTCAGAAAACGGAAGAGCATACTGACGAGTAAATTATTTTTAGTAGGGAAAATGCATGGATTAGATATTAAACCAATTGAATAAGGTTTTTTGAACTGTTGAGATATTCGGTATTGTTAATATAGCCATATTCACTATATCTATGAAAGTGACGGGGCTTCCCAGACTTAACAAATACTTTGAATACTTTCCTATCCGAGGACCAACTTTTGAATATTTGTATTGATTCCGTGATGTAGTATGCACCAAAAAAAATCTTGTGCTACAAACAGCGTATGTTTTGTTTTAGATTAACATAAATAACGTAAAATAAACATTTTGTTGCGTCTTCATCGAGAAACGCATGGCCTTGAATTCGTCTGACTACAATTATTTATTCTTAGACACGGAATTCCGATAGAGCTACGTAATGTACCTGTATACAATTTCTGAGTACGCGTCATGACAGTGCACTGTTGGACGCGTGCACTACATTGTAGCGGATGATAGACTTTGGGAAATAGGCATAGCAACCCGCCAAAGCACCCCGCCATAGCTCTTTAGTATTACTCATCCCAGTATGCTACTGGACAAATAGCATCACCCTGGGTATTTTGGCTATTCAGAAGAAGTTGTTGAAAGTGTTTTTACATATTTTACCCCTGTGACATTGATTATTGGTGAATGTTATTTATTTGAACAAAATTGGTAGCCATTCATCCCAGTTTGTTTCTTGCTAAATATCATCACTCTAGGCCTTCTGTTTAAATTAAATTATTGCCACCGGACGACGGACGGACGACGGACGCCGGGCCACGCCATAAAATCACTTCTCCCTTCGGGCAGGTGAGCTGATAAAAAAATAAGTCGTGGACTGAACACGCGAGCGCGGGAGTGTGTATACTGATTACTTACCGTGGCGGGTCCGTTATGCTCCGTGCGAGGTCGTACTTATCCGTGCCAGACCATTCTAATTCGTGCTAACCCGTACCAAACGATACCGAACCGTAGCAATCCGTTTCACTCCCCGTTGTCAACTAACTTAGCCATTAACCGTAGTAAAACCGTGGTTCATATTCCGGGGTCATCTGTGAGTTTCTATCCGTAGTGGATCCGGCGAGACGATCCGTGAATGTGTGACCGGGGTAGAATGAGTTAGACTGATGACTCGGCGGACTTTTTTCCGAGAAAACCCTCTTCATATTGAAGAGATGGGTATTTCATATATGTGTAATTATGTTGAATTGTGTTGAATAATGAGATAAACTGATATTTATATATAATATATAGATTGAACATCACAGTTGTAATGTAGACATATGCAACTATCATAACTAATAGTTAATGTGACTGGCTACGGCCAGGGATATGTTTGACATGTTTTATCTCATCGTTTGAGTGTATGAATGTTTGTATCATTATGTATAGTTATATGATGCATTTCATGTTACAAGGTTTTATAAGTAATTAACCAGTAAACAACGAACCCCGGAGTTGTCGTATATCGAGAGTAATGACGACTATTACATCAATATAAAATAAATGAGTTTCTCATTAGTTCCTAAGTACTTTCACATCTTTACAGGGGATGTGGTTATTCAAGTTGACAGAACAACAACACGACCTATAAAATGATGACGTCATGATCAGTTATGACGTCACAATACTACATACTAAATATTACACCAAAACAAAGCAATGCACTTTGACGTTAACATTTGCGGAAATACTAATTTGCAGTTACAGCAATCGGTATTTCATTACAGGAATGAGTATAGCAACAGACTTTTCGAATGCATTTGTATTATGCTTTCATGTGTAAAAGAGAGAGTAGAGTGATTGCACCGGGGATCAAACCCGCGATCCAAGACTTTCTAGTCGGACTTTCTACCACTGAGCTAAAGGGAAATTCCCCATAACTCGAAGCTAACAGTTGACAATTAAAATCTGACACTCATAAAACGATATGTGCGGTCAAAATAATTTAAAAAAAATATTTAATTTATGATATTGATTCTTCTACTCTCTTTATACAAATTTCATCGGGATTTAACTTTTGCACTAAAAGGATGTATATTTGTATTGACAGTTAAAATCTGAGATTGTCACTTTTTGTCTGTTGTCTGTGAATAGTCATTCGTTGGCGTAATTCAAAATTAATGTAAAGTTCAAAACAACTGCCACATATAATTGTATAAACAATATCCAACTCAAACATTTATAGCCATTCTGATATCAAACTTTTCTAGATGGATTCTTTTAATCAAACACAAACATAGTTAACTTACCTGCCACGTTAAGTGTGTAGTCAGGACTGTGTACAAGCCTGTCAACAGCAGGTAGCCTTGCGTTGGTACGTTGACAATACCACACAGATCCATGGTCCCCTGTCTGTGGCTGTATGACCCACTGGAACACTGTACCATAGAGAGTCGAGTTGGTAGTACAGGAACAGATATCCGGGCTACAGAGGACAGACGGAGTAGTAGCGGTGTTGTGACATTGACCACCAGCTATTTGTATACTACCTTGTGCAGCAGCCACGCCAGGACGGCGGTACAACTGGACTTGGGCTGCTTCCTCTGGTACGTCACACGTCAATGTAAACTCACTCCCGGGGACAGCGTACTCAGACAACCCGGTCAGTGTTACAGCATCTGTGTTACAATGCAGTTTATAATGAAAAAAGGGACGTATTACAGACAAGATTCACTATAGAGTTAAAACGATCCATCGAATCATATCGTTTCCTCCCTTGGGTATATGATCGAATTGTTTAGGTTGTCTGTATAGCGATACACTATACAAATACTGAACTTAACAATCATTTCTTCACTAAAAAGTGTACTTATTATTTTTAATTCCTTAAATAAATCGGTATTATCTTAAGTAAAGATGTAGTCAACTGTGCAGTCATACCCAAAAGTACTAAACTCCTATACAAATATATTTTTCATAATATTTACCTTTTAAGACTATGATAAAACCATATAAAGTCCTGCTCTTAATCATTATGAAGTTGACTTTCCAAGCAGAAATGTGTATCGTGATACCTATCGTATCGTAGACATCGTACCGCGGTACGTATCGTATTTTGAGGTGTACCTGTACGTATATATACGTATCCGTTAACTTATAGTATGATACATGCGTTAAGGAACCTGCAAATTATCTTGACTATTGTCACAACATAAATAAATTCACATAAAGCGATTTAAGGTATGAGGTCAATGACATGTATAACAATCATTATTTGCATATTTGTTAAGTTGTTCATTAACTAGTTTTACAAAAACTTAAGATTACATTTGTGTGGTGTTTGGGTTCTTTTACAATAATGACCAGTACTAAATGTCTTCATTTCAGTGGGTAATTTATTTCTCCTGTATGTGGTACCGGGGATCAACTGGTATAATCATGATGGAAGGTTATATTTCTGTATGTATCTCTTTAATTTGGAAGTATGTCGATGTTGCCAAATACGAGGAATAGATAGGAAGTAATTACAAACTCAAGGATAAAGAAGCGAAGAAAACATTAACGCAGAAAATATCACGCAATGCTACAGGTGTCAGAGGTCAGTTTGTCACTGGTCAAACAGGTATACAAACAATAGCATGCACAATTACGTCACACTCACATACATTCCAATCAAAACGAAAGTAACATACGAGACTAGGCGACTGCGATTGCGGATGCGGAGCGCGGATTACAGATACAAATCTACGACACAACATTATACAAAGTAATGCTGATTAGACTCAATATATTTTAACTGATGCTTATGAATATAAAGAATTAAAATAAATCGACAGATGTAGCAGGGTGCCACATTTGTTTTCGTCTGATACTTACATACATAATGTTAAAAATGCAAACATGAAAATAATCAAATTTGCGCGCGTTTCGGAGAATAGCGCGTAATATTTGTCCTATAGGTACGTGAAGATCGTATTAGGGCGAGTAATTCGTGCGATTTGGTATTGACCAATGAGGTGGAGCATGTATGTGGGGTACGACACGGGTGGTTGTTAATGTGTCATTCTAGCTCCGGACGTAGACGGAACGTACAAGTTTTAAATCTAAATTCAATTTAAATATATTGCATATGGAATGTTTTGTATATGCATGAATACATTGAGAATATATGGGAATCGTATTTATGTTTGATGTATAGAAACCCCAGCAAAAAAAACAACAAAAAAAAACCCTGAAGCATAGACGGGCTGTTACACCTCCTGCTTCCTAAAAGGAGTTCAGGTTGGGTGGCGCGCTTGGTTTTTGTAGATAAATACGATTCGCAATGAGAGGGAGAGATTGTCGGTTGTGGGTGAATTTGTCAAAATTGAATGGAAACGTCTTTATCGCATCAAATGCAATTATAATAAATGCCTGTCCTGTCGTTCCATCGGCCGAGTAGCTACCTGCATATATCATGGTTGTGGTTTGTTTGTTTAATACAAGATGGAGTATATAGAGGACCAAAATCAAACAAAGAGTATATTTATGATAATGCATATCGTTTCGGCTGACTGGAAGCCAAAAGTACAGTGTATCAGTCATCAGTCATCACCATTAAGTTAGAAACCAGTGGTTTCACTTTTCACTGTCAATCTACGGTGAACAATTGCACCGTAGTCTAGGAGATGTGTACGGCTTGATGACAAAAACAGTTATTTGTAAGCAGTTTTGTAAGTTCCTCGATCCAAAGTAAGAAATTATTATTTGCCCTTCACTAATACCATTTCGTCATTCAAATAGAACGATTCTCAGTTCTTATACGACTGATATGGCGAAAATAAACTGCACTGGATTTGCTACGGTTAACTTAAAGTTTCTAGTACTTATACATCACCGTGGTCGATAAGGGTTAAAATCGGTCCATTGTTGGTGATGCTAGTTTTACAATGTCATCGGCGTAGAATAGAAATAGAATAGAAAAGTTTTCTTTGTCGCTATAAATACTTTGGAACTCTCGTTATTGGACGTTAGACCGGCGATCCCAAGCATCTCTGTTATAGGCCCTTTATTTTTAATGGACCATTCCGTCAGGAAACTGTTCACTTGCATGCAATATTTATTTTTTTATCTTTTTTTTTAAATGACAACATATCATTAGTCCGATCTAGTTTATGCATAGCAGTTCAGGGACTACCTATCAAAGTGCTTCCCTAAAGCAATACATGAAGCGCATGTGTCTAGATTTGATAACTTTCGATTGCCTGAAGAGAATGTACATCATCTTTACGACCTCTGTCACTGTTATGTTGTTGTACAGACGATTCAGACCCAGGCATTGTACGACAAACTGTATTACGATTATAAACACACACATAGCACATGCTGTTACATTGGAGCCATCTTGGAGAATCCCCACCCAAAACGAGGTTGTCGCTATAGTCCATATCAGAATGCATAACGCCTACTATATACTGTTTCACATATGTAGTACATATGTATGTATAACTCGACAGTCACTGACAAGGCTTTTTGCTTAAAGGTTTCTTTTGTTTCAACCAGGCAGTGAGGCGAAGATTAAAATATAACAATATATTATATAGGGTGTTAATAGCAGTGTTACGATTTGAAGAACTTGTAATCCCTTCCTTTCTCAAATTGTGTGTCAAGATGCTATAAAAACATTATCTGTTTATAGGAAATAGCCTGTCTACATACGCGCTATGTTTCAAGATAAATATATTTATCACATAATGTACTGTGTTATCCAGTGAATATACTCGTGTATTATTTCTTTGCGTATTAACCCATGTAATATGACCTGTCAGCCCTGTAATTGATTGTGAGTTTAAATTGTTTCAATTGCGACGTTACGCCTAGGACAAGTACATGAAGTCAAAAACTTACGCACTGGAGTCAAAATGGCAGCATTTTTACATTTCAATGTTGCATCAAAATCGCTGTTTTACACGAATAAATGCCACACTCGTTTTCATTTCATATGAAATTGATGAAACTCGTCACTAAGTTTTCATTTTAGATCGCAAGAGGCTCACTGAATTGCAAAAAATCTTAGACTCATTTCATCAATCTCATATGAAATAGAAACTCATGTAAGATCCTATATATATATAAACAAAAGACAAGAGTTTCTTCCTTCATGTTGACAGGACAACAACACAACACAGAAAGTGATGACATCATGATACATTGTGACATCGCAATACAACCTACCACACTTGACACCAAAATTAACAATGCACTTTAACGTCAACATTTGAGGAACAAAATGTATGGTGTTACAGAACTAGATATGTGTTTATAAAGTTACAGGCATGAGTATAGCAACATATATTCATGCAGCGATCTGTGCTGTTAGAACAATTTAGACCAGGTTTTAACATATCGATTAACATTGATTCTTTTGACTCTCGTTGTACAGTGTCTTCTGCAGCTTGATATAAAGGAACTACATGGAACTTATCATTTGCACCAGGATGTTTTTGCTTATAAGCAGGTAAAAATCAAGGATGGCCACTTTTTGTCTGTAGTCTATGAAGTGTCATACGTTGACATAATTCACAACAAGTTTGTCCAATGTAAAATTCAGAACAATTTGCACAGATCATTGCATAAACAACATTCTGAGATCTACAGTTAATTTATTGTTTTTCCATTTTTGAATATAAATTCTTCAACAATAATACTACAAAAAACACACCTTCTGATGTTACAATAGACAGATATATATCTACATCAGTACCTTCTTTTAATTTAACAATACACAATTATTTATTTAAATCAGTACCCTTTTCAGATGTAACAATACACTGGTATATATTGACATCAGTACCGTCTTCTGATGTTCAATATACATGTTGATGTTACAATACACAGGTATATAGATATGTATCTACATCAGTATCACCTTCGGATGTCACAATAGAGAGGTATATATCTCCATAAGTACCATTTTCTGATGTTCCAATACACGTATACATTTACTTAAGTATCATCTTTTGATATTATATAAAAAAAACAACAACTCGAGGTTCTTATATACCGATTTTCACAATCTGATTCGTAGGATGTCTCAAAGCAGTTCACAATTTAGTATCCGTGGTTATAGGGCCTATGCAACCAGTCAATACTCTTCTCAACTCCCTTGGGAGCATACAGCTGGAGCTGCCATTTCGGCGCTTTTAGCTAGCATTCAACAATTATAGTGCTGCTCAACCAATGACTCATTTAAAGCTGTGTAGACTGGAACAAGAGGAGTAAAGTATCTTGCTCAAAGATACAACACAGAGCCGTGTCGTGACTCGAACCCGCAACCCTTCGGTCACGAGCCCGGCGTCCTACCACTAGATTCGTTACGATACACAGGTATATATCTACATCAGTATCCTTTTCTGTTGTAACACTTAACAGGTATATATCTACATCAGTATAATTTTCTGATATAACAATACACAGATATTTATCGACATCAGTAGCATTTGCTGATGTTACAATACACAGGTATATATCTGCTGTAAATATTGTACATTTTATCATACATTGTATCTTGACCATATGTAAGATAAGCTTCATGCTCAATATGTTATCAAGAATGAATAAAGCCTTTATTATCTACGCCAGTACTTATTTTGTATTGTAACAATAGAGAGGTATATGTTACGATAGACAGGTATATAACTACATCAGTACCATCTTCTGATGTTACAATATAGAGGTATATATCTACACCAGAGCCATCTTCTGATGTTACAATACAAAGGTATTCATCTATATCAGTATCATCTTCTGATGTTACAATACAGAGGTATATATCTACATCACTACAAACTTTTAATGTTACAAAAGCAGGTATATATCTACATCAGTATAACCTTCTTATGTTACAATAAACAGGTATATACCTACATCAGTACCATTTTCTGATGTAACAACACATATGTATATCTATACATCAGTACCACCTTCTGATGTTA